TAACACTATAAACCAACTTTATCTGACATATATAAACACAACACCAAACAAAAGCAGAATATACATTCCACTCAAGTGGACATGGAACATTCTCCAGAATAGACTATATGTTAGGTCACAGAACAAGTCTCAATAAAGTTCAAATGATTGAATCATTTAAATTAGCTTCTCTGACCACAATGAAATGAAGCCAGAAATCAAAAACAGGGAAACTGGAAAATTCACAAATATGTGGAAATTAACACACTCTTAAACAACCAATGGATCAAAGAAATCTCAAAGGAAATTAGAAAATACTTAGAGACAAATGAAAATGAAAACACAACATACCAAAACTTATAAAATGCAGTGAAAGCAGTGCTCAGAGGGAAATTTATAGCAGTAAATGCCAACATTAGAAAAGCAAAAGCTCAAATCAACAACCAAACATTATACCTTATGGAACTAAAAACAGAAAAGCAAACTAAACCCAAAGCTAACAGAAGGAAGAAAATAATAAAGACTAGAGTAGGCCAGGCGTGGTCGTTTACACCTATAATCCCAGCACTTTGGGAGTCCGAGGCGGAGGATCCCTTGAAGCTAGGAGTTCTAGCCTGCAGTAAGCTATGATCAAGCCACTGTATTCCAGCCTGTGTGACAGAATGAGACCCCCTGGCTCTTAAAAAAAAAAAAAAAAATTATAGTGGAGATAAATGAAATGGAATAGAAAAACAATAGAGAAATTTAATGAAACCAAAAGTTGGTCCTTTGAAAAAAATCAACAAAATTGACAAACCATTAGCTAGACTGACAAAAAGAAGATGCAAATCACTAAAATCAGAAATGAAAGGAGGATCATTACTACTGATCTTATAGAAATAAAAAAGACTGTAAGAGAATATTATGAAGTTTTATGGCAACAAATCAGATAACCTGGGAGAAATGGACAAACTCCTAGAAACACACAAAAATAGATAATGATATTAATTTTGTTTTTTCCACAGCCTTTTCTCCTGTTAATCACGTATTTTGAAGTCAGTCCAGCAAATTCTCACAAAGATTTATGAAAGTGAAGACCTCAGCAATTATATATAGTTCTTCTAAAGTTCTAAATGACGTACAAAGGAAAGAAAATAGAATGGTTCCTCCAGGGAACTTACTGGTAGTAGGGTAGCTGATATTTTCCTGGATTCCTTTTAATCTATGGCTAGGATACTGTGGGGCAAAGACCATTCTTGCAAACTCAATATCTCAATAAGGTTAACTACATACCATCTTGTTCAAAAACTAGCTGTCAGCATTTCTTGATAAAGAGGGAAAGGGTTCCCTTATGTTTCTTATCCCAGGTTATCTTTTTTTTTTCGTCCCTAATCACCCAATATATTTACCCTCCTCCAAATGTATAATTCAAACATACCAAGTTTTTTCATCTTGATAACAGCAAGTCATTTGGTTCATACCACTAGAGATAAGACAGGGTATTTTTGCATTTAGTTTTGTTACAACAGTAGTCAATAACAACAACGAGTGGCATCAGTATTGGCACTCAATGCACTTATTAAAAGGAACAGAGGAGGAACAAGTGGAAAGATCTAATGTAGAACATGAGGACTATAGTTAATAATATATTCTATTCAGGATTTTGCTAAATGGGTAGATTATAGCTGCTCTTGCCATAAAAGGGAAAAATGGGTAACTATGTGAGATGATGGATATGTTAATTTGTTCCAATACAGTAACAGTTTTACTACGTGTTAATATATAACATGCTGTAAGCCTTAAATATACACAATGAAGTTTATTTTAAAATAAATAAATCTCTGCAAAACTTAAAGGCAAAAAAAGAAAAAAAAAGGAACAGGAATGCTAGCAGAGTACAGACCACTGAAGAGAAACAAGTAGCCAATACTCTACTTTAAGATATTCTCCTTCCCAGTCAAAAGCTTAAGGAGCCTCAGCAGAACAGATACATATTTCAATCTACACTGACACAGAAGCTTTGGATACCATTTTACACTCTATTTTAATTTTATTCATCATGTAAGCATATCTAAATAAGGCAAATTAAGAACAAGACTTTGATTTTCTACTAATATGAAATGTCTCAATCATTCCTTTGAAAATATATTTAGAATATAAATTCATGCCCAAAAATCTACCTGTAACACTCAAGACTTTGTACTTCTTTAATGATTTCCTTTACCTTGTAAGTAGTCATTCGATGCTGAGCAATTGCAGTCAGCTTTTCTAGAAGGCCTCGTAATCGCTCCTGTGTTGCATGGGAGATCAAGTTCACAGCATCAGAGTTGAGTTCTGTAATGTCATGCTTTTTACCTGTGGAAGCAGAGAAAATCCATTACATGTTTTAGTAGTGGCTGATAATTGAAATAATTAGCACAGCAGGTATTCTGTTCCCCCTGGAAGTCATACCCATTATGAATAAAGGTTTGGAGATTATGATTTTCCTGGTAAAGTCACAACTTCAAAGATCTTAGACATTACATTAATAAAACCTAGCCTGAAGCCTCAGAAAATATAGACATTGTTTCACTTAGCCTCTAGAATCATTCTCCTTGCAAGGTCATTTATAGGACAAAGTTAATAAGAACACAAATCAAGTCTAGTGTTCAGGGAGGAAAATGGTAACTGCAGAAATTAGTGCCGTATTCTGTTAATTTTAGTAATTAAAAAAATAGAAAATTACATTTCGCCCTGTTTGACACTGTTAACAATTTATGACATTTATTTCAATGAATTCAGACTATGAGTCTCCATTAATGCCTGTCTACAAGACATACCTATATTCCTTTTTGTCCATTACTAATCATGCTTATTTAGCCCTAACTCATGTTTTGAAAAATTGACCCAGTAATCAATTTACAAGTTGAAAGGAGTTCAAAGCCTTATCATTTCATCCACCTATTTAAATAACTTCTCTCTCACTAGATCACCTTTCCATAAATAAACCAAACTTTTCTTCCTTCTGCTAACTAGGAAGACGGTTTTAAGGAAACAATTTGGACCACAAATTCAGAGGAAAAAGCTTATTTATAAACCAACCTTATCAGTATTTAAATAGTACTTCTCAGGCACAGTGGAAACACCTGTATCAATAGGCACCCAAACCTAAAAATATAGGTAATTAGGGAGTCTAATTTAAATGAATTTTTAAAACCACTACTATTATTGTTTTTAACACAGACAGAAATTTTTGAAATATTGTTTGATTTCCCATTCTAATTTATCTGAAACATATTCTTAAATTCTCATCAAAGGGTGAATGACTACAGCAGAAATATGCTTTAATTACAAGTCAACAACAACTCTTAAATACATTCTTTGACATTATTACACAATAAAACCAATAGAAAGAAGATACAAAATTATCAAACCTGCCCTAAACCAAGCCTTCAAATTCATTACTTTGTATTACAGTAAAACTGAATTTCTCTCCAATCTCTGATTCAAGCAGGGAAAAAATACTACAAAAATCAAATTTACTTTATTAAAACTTGCAGCATAAACAAATAGTGTAGCCTTTTATACCTGCGGTCCCCAACCCCCAGGCTGCAGAGTGGTACCAGTATGTGGCCTGTTAGAAACCTGTTAGGAAGAGGACCACACAGCAAGTGGTGAGTGGTGGGCAGAGGGCAAAGCTTCATCTGCATTTACAGCCGCTCCCCATTGCTCACATCACCGCCTGAGCTCCGCCTCCTGTTAGATCAGCAGCAGTATTAGTTGCAGGAAAGCAAGCTCAGGGCTCCCACTGATTCTGCATTATGGTGAGCTGTATAATTATTTCATCATATATTACAATGTAATAATAATAGAAATAAAGTACACAGTAAGTGTAATGGGCTTGAATCATCCTGAAACCAAAAATTGTCTTCCATGAAACCAGTCCCTGGTGCCAAAAAGGTTGGGGACCACTGTTCTATAAAAGAGACAGTATGATTTCAAAACAATCCAATAATTAAAATTACAACTAAATATAGGGTAGATAGGGGATGACATGCTATTTCATGCTTAAAGAAAATAAGCATTTAAAAATATTTAGTGTTTGGGGAGACTCTTTAAAAATAATTTCATATGCATTTATA